TATAAATGAACATGTGCATCTTATATTTCAACTATTATGTATGTGAAAAATAATAAACATTCATAATACATTATAACATGATTAAATAAATTTAAATATGAATAACACAACATATTCACTGCACTACATTAGACCTTTTTTATAAACAAATATCTCAGATGTTTGGCAACAACTTGATAGGTGAAGAGGCTGTCAGTGTGTCACTGTAAAACATATCAGTATGGCTAGAAAATTTTGTCACATGGCTAAATAGTAAATAAATAGGTGTATGATGGTTTATTGCCATTACATATTGTGAAATAAATGTGAAGAAGAAACAAGTATGTATAAAAATAATGTAATTATTTTGAAAAAATTACCTAAAAACAATGAAACTAAGTGCACAAAAAAGAGTTATCCATACTGTGTTATTTCAATAAATATGAATCTCCCTAAGCAGTTGATTTCTGTTTGTTTTTTGTTTTTTTAAATGACCTTCACTGTGGAAAATTATAATATGGTAAATAATAAAACTGGTATAAATTGTCACCCAGAGGCTACTATTACTTAAATGAAAAGTTTTTTAATGTGATATCAGTTTGCAATTCCATTCTAAAAAAGTAACCATTTTTTATTGTATTTGATTTAAATATATTGTGTAATGTGAATAATAATAATTATTATAATAGTTTATATTGCAAATACAAATTAAAATATGTGTAATTGATAATAAAATTGATAATATTGTTACCTCATTGTTTTGTATCGCGAACTGCTTTTAAAAGAAATCCAACAGGTTTATAGGTGATTTAATATATTCTATTTAACAAGCATAAGAACTTAATGTTTTAACCATTTTCATTAGTTGGATTATTTGTTGCTTAAAATTTGATATTTCACTTTCCAATAAGTATACATGCTGTATAATTTTTTTCTGATATATAAAGACAAAAAAAAAACATATAAATCTGAATAATGAATATTGTTTTATTTTTCTGAGACACTGTTTCAATCCCATTTTTTTATGATTCATCATATGTTTTTTTGCAGGAGCGGGCCCGCATCTTGTCTCGTCGACGTCCTCAAAGTAGAAGAGCCCGACGAGCTGCAGCAGGGTCAGAATTTGATAGCACAGATTTTTCTCCCATTTCTCCTATGACAGCAGTACCCTATATGAATGAAGAGGGTACATTCTCACCTGTCAATCCAATTGATGCCATGTCAGCACCTGTCCTCTATTCTGGCAAAGATCCTTTTAATTACAAAGAAATACTCAATAGCAAGACAAAACCCTCTGCTCTCTCTACACCTACACAGGAAGATACTCCACCCAAGGTATCTGCACCTTTACTCTCAAAGGAATCCATTTCTAAAGAACAGGAAACTGACAAAGCAGTATCATCTCCATTTGAGGATGATTTATTTGCCAGTGCTGCAAAGAAAATGCCTTCCAAAGACACTGTAGATGATACTGATGACTTGTTTGGTCCAAGTTCTGTGCCAACTGACAACAAAAAAGCCAAGGACATAACTGCCACAACTAAAACTGACATAGAAGCTTCCAAAACTGAGGTTTCATTACCAAAATGTGAACTTGCCAAAAAAGACATTCACAATGATGACGACGATGATGATGATGACATCTTCGCTGATGCTACCATTTCAGTAAATAAAAAGAAAGGTGAATCTTCATTTCTATATATTTTTTTTACTTTCCTCAGTTAATATTAACAACATTGAAAAAGGTTTCTTTTTTTATTTATATAGATATGACAAATTTTAATGATGATAACTAATTTTTTCTTTACACAATGACAAAATCAGTACTCTAAAAATTTTGAATCAGATATTAACTATTTTGATTCATTTTCCAAAATTTATTAAAACTCTTATAATATTCTTATAAAATATCAGCATAATTTGAACTTAGACATTCAAATTACAATGAGATAATTTCATTACACTATAAAGTTTTCCACCTCTAAATAAATGATATCACTAAATTATTTAATTTGTCTAAATTTAATTTCTTACTTTTTCAGATAAAAAGATTGCTATAAAACATGATGATGGTGGTGGTGGTGATGATATATTTGCATCAAACAGTGTTAGCACAAAGGTAAACTAAATCTCTTATTTCTTCCATATTTCTTATCTTTTCATTTAGTTTACAATAATCTGCTTGATCTTCAATTTAATGAACCTTCAGACAAATTCTGTATTTTATCAAAGTTATAGTAAACAATACAGAATCAATTTTAATCATTTCATTCTTATTTTATTTCAGCCTTGAAGTATTGTATTGATTATTAATCAAATAATTTCTCTCTCTCTCTCTCTCTATATATATATATATTTACAATGAGCTATATTTATGAGTAAAAGTGCTCAATATGAGGGATAGAGCAAGTGTATAATAATACATCTTCAGGCCTGACAATGCATTCAACCATGAAACAGACTCTCGCTGTTCAGTGTTAACATCATTGTCTACTTACATACTCACACACTATTATTTTATATATCTTGTTAAAAAAAATTTAAGTTGTCAATTTTAATAGATTTTACCTGGATTCTAATTTTTACTATGAATATTGATTTTCACTGCAGTGATTTTTTTTTTTTTTCCACTGATTTCTGCTACGTTTATTAGTCTTATTTCTTGTATTTGCTCATGTTTAGATGTTTGTGAAAAGATTTTATGACAAACAGAAACACTAAATAATTGTTTTCATTATTCTGACTCCAGTTGCTACTATTATTTTTCCTGTTATGAGTACACTTCACTCATTTTTTTTATAAGAACATATATCATCTTTTCTGTTATCAATTCAACAAAACCAATACGATGACTCTGTTTTATTTTCCAATCTATAAAATGTTTGTTTAAAAAATAGCCTAGATGCAAATATTGGTATTTCTATACTTGCACGGACACTACCTCTTAATTGAATACAATACATATATATATATTGATGACACTAAAATTGAAGTCTGATTTGTTTTCTAAACTGAAATTAGTGTTTTTATTTGTTTATTTTTCAGATGTTGGGGAAAGATTCTAAAAACGGAGGTCTGAAAACAGCTGGGAGAAAAATCCAAAATAATAATGTAACAAAAGACGATGACCTTTTTACTGATGATACAGATATCTTTGCTAATTTGCCAGCCACAAAACAGAAAGAAAAGAAAACTGTAACCACCACAAAATCTGCATCAAAGCCTTTATTCCAAGAAGACATTGGTAAGTTAGTTGCTCATATTTAGCCTTACACTTCCTTTGTGGAGAAAGCATCAAATCTATCTGCCATAACTGGATACTTGGTGTTATGAAATATCTCAGAGTTGAATGAACTTCTCTTTAGAATGTCAATGTTACAACAATTGAAAACATTATTTGATAAATACTAAAAATATATGTTTGCTTTGACATAATTACTTTTGCTTCTTTGTCAATGTTGGAAAAATAAGGAGAATTAAAATAATTCTCCTTATTTTTCCAACATTGACAAATGATGTATTTTTGTTACCCATTAAGTAATTTGTTTTGTTTTAATATCAAATTACTTTGCCCATAAAACTTTGTTGCATTCTCATGCTGCATGTTCATATTATTGCTGCTGATGCTGCTGCCTTTAACCTTTTTTCACATTGTTGACACAAACAATACACATTTACCAAAGAAAACAAATCTACTGTGGTGTCTCAGTGGCTGTTATACTCTCACCAAATTACCTTTGATTGTTCATTAACTACTAGTTTATAACTCTATATTTTGTTTGAGGTAAGTCAAGGGTAATTTTCAGGCATCTATGTATAAAAGGAATGTCAGTATTACTGGTTGATGTGTCTAGTCCACAGTCTATGGATTGTATAATTGAGTCAACCTGTAAATAAGAAATAAATTGATGTTTTTTTGTTTTTTTGTTGTTGTTTTTCAAAGGATACAATCTGTTGAAAATGATATTTTCTACACAGAAAAGTACATGATGCCCATCTCATTGGCTGGGAAGTAGATAAATTGAGTGATGAGGAATTGACAAGGTTAGAGATTCAAGAGCAGAATTACTGACAAGTTTCTGGATAGGTTGCTCTATAATGCAAGCCTTGTTGAGATCTTCTTTTCCTTTTTCTAACTTTCAATTTCCATCTTAATTTAAGTATTTTAATTCTTCAAATTATTATCTGTATAGGCTTCCAAAACTTTGGCCAGTTTCCACTCACTGCAAGAATGGAAACTGATCTTCTTTGACAATCACGACATTACCAACTCATACATTTTGTTTTGGAGTGTGCCATCATTGTCTAAGCGAGATGTTGGTGACATATTCCTTCTTCCACCTGTTACAGAACTGTTCAGCCAAATACAACACTCTTATCGTTTTTGGCATATAATTCTTCTTTAATAAATTTGCTAGGTGGAGGCAACAGAACAGGTTTCATAATGAGCAGGAGTTTGGGTGTTAATGGTTCCATACTTTGTAGGATCACTGAGAGTGTCCACAGTGAATGGGCAGCTATTTACTATTGACATAGTTTCATATAAGAATGTCCTCAAAGAAGTATCATCCAGTCTTCCAGCACTACTTGCTAAAGTTGAAGCACATTTTTCACTGTCCTGATGTGCCTCTCCCATACACCCTCAGCATGACTGGAATCCGGTGTATTCATATAGAAGTTGCACTGCCTGTCTGTCCAGTATCCAGCTACTCAACTGTCTTTATCAACTGTCTTTATCAACTTTCTTTAGAGCTCTTTCAAGTTCATTTTTAGCTCCAACAAAATTAGACCCCTGATCTGATTGAATTAGTCTGAGAGCTCCACGGAATGTGATAAAATACTGAAGGGCATGAATGAAGGCATTAGTTGTCATATCTTCCAACATCTCTATATGAATCACTCTTGAACAGAGATGTGTAAAGATCAGCCCATATCATATATATTCCTTACAGTCCTTTTTGATGAGATATGGCTCAAAACAGTCCCTGCCACAGTAGGAAAATGGTGATGAAGGATCAACATGCTCATTTGGAAGATCTGCCATTCGCTATTCTTCCAGTAGTTGACAATATCTTCTACAGGTGACACACTGCCTTATATACTTGGCTACTACCCTACTACCACTTATGATCCAATAGCCATTGGATCTTAATTTATTCAATGTTTGTCCTCTACCTTGGTGCTGTATTGGTAATGAGCAAGGATGTGTGACCACTCCTTCCTTTGGAAGGATTATTGGATGTTTTACATCAAGATGAGTGGATGGTCTTCTCAATCTCCAACCAACTCTTATTATGTTGTCTTAAAGGAGTGGATCAAGTTTGTACTGTTGGTAATTGCAAGATAACTTTTCCAGCCTTTTGGCTAACAAGTGTATTTCTTCTCTGAAAGCATCTTGCTGAGCAAGTTCAAGGATTGTGAGCTTGACCCCTTTTTTTTCTTCATTGCTTAAGAGCTCTATATTTGCAGTTTTCTTACTTAAGCATTGAATTCAAGCAATGACATTCACTGTTCTGGTCCATTTCAAGAACTGTGACAGTAACCCCTGGCAATTATAATGACTGATATTAATTACATTAAGCACTCTGACAAGCCAAAGTAATTGAACACTCCATAACATTTTAAATAATACATCTGAATGAACTGTGCATGTCTATCTAAATATAGTTACATTATGGTTTTTGTATATATATATATATATGTATATATATATATATATATATATATATATATATATATATATATATATATATATATATATATTATTTACCTTTTTGTACAAGTAGATTTTGATATAAAATTTGGAAGAAGAAAAGTGTGTTTTTGTACACCAAAAAGTATGGTAGATGAATTTAAACTTTTATGTTGCTTTTCAGCTATTACATCACTTGCATCAAAAATACTGACTGGTCCTCTTTGAGAATCAATGTATCTATCTTGGAAAAAAAAAAGTGTACTTCTGCTATGTCACAAGCCTTATTTTTTGTTTGTTTCTTTCAAAGTCAGTTTTATATCTATAAATAAATAATTTTGCATAATGTATGGCATTTCTCTCTACCCTATAAAATGTAAAAATACTTATATACAGCTAATTCTGTTTACTATTTGGTATTTCAAGAAACATTTCATTATAAATTGCATTTTTTTTTTAAATTTTCATTTAAAGCAAATTAACAGTTATAAACAGTTTGAAAAGAAAATTCTTAGAAATCTTTCCTAAGAGTTTCAAACAAAAGATATATACAAATTTCTTAAGTGATAATTTTCAATTTGAAAATTATTTTAAAAGTAATAATATTGTATACTTTCTATGCCAGTAATGGTAAATGAAATAAAATTTCATATCTATAGAATTTTCTTGCATTCCAACTTTGTAGTATGGAGCAACAGCCTCAAACATGCTCGGCATTGTACTGGTTGCCAACAAAAATTGAAGAGCCCAGTCTGTCCTGCTATTTAACCCATAGCTGGGAGTAGACAAAATGAAGTCATATCTTTTTCAAGAGTATTTGTACAAATGTGAATGTAAGAATCTTGACTGCAATTTAAATTCAGCACCACTGATTTCTCATTCTGAACCAGTGATATGAATGTGCACCACCTGCACATTCATATCTATAGAATTATGCCAAGGAAAATTTTATTTGATTTATAGATTATATCAGAGGAACGCAATCTAACTGCTTAAATCTGTGCTCTTTAAAGTATTTGGGATAACAGAAAACGAGACATTTTTCTATTTATCAAGTAATTTATTTCAAGCACTCTAAGTGACAAATTATGCTTAGATTGAGTTTATGAAAAAACAGACCTTCTCTAACACATTTACACTTCTTAAAATTCTTTGCTTTTTTTTTTTTAATGAGACAGTAATTTGTAATAATGAAGTGTTTAGTTGCTACTTGATAGATGATGACTTCTAGTTTTTAATCCTTGAGAAACTCAGCATGGGAGCAGGTTGTTTTTAGATGAGCAATAGGATTCCACCCTCCTGTTCCATTTGTTGAATGATTGGATTTCAAATAGGTGACACTCAATCCTTGAGGGAAGAACTGTTTTTTACTTTGGTGATAGTTTCTTTTCCTATAAGCATTTATTAATAAGTACGAACATTACTTCTAACTTATGATCAACAATAGACATTTGTTAAAAGATTATTTGATATGATTTAAGTCAAAACAGATTGTGCAATGACACTAAACACAACTGATACAAGAAACATTTTTATAAATCATTGAAAGTTTTTTATTATAGGGTTAAAAAATTCATCTTTGATCTTCATTGCCAGTTAATTTTTCTGTATTCCATTGTTATTTTAGTATTAAAAATAGTTTTCTTTTTGTTACAGATGACATTTTTGCTGATAGTCTGCCAAGCAAGAAGGAAAGCACAGTTAGAAAGGACAATGGTGCACCCAAAAAATCAGAGAAACCAACATCAAACAAAATCTCTTCTATATTTGATGATGATGATGATGACACCAGCTTGTTTGATGATCCACTCAGTGTAAAGAGCAAATGATAGAGAAGGAGAAATGCCTCTGATACACAGGCATTTAATAATAATAATAATGATGATGATGATAATGTAAAGACAAATTTTATAGTTGTTATAAATTATGATTTTTCCAAAGAATATATTTGAACATATTGCTGCCACTCAATCAATAACTGGATTTTTTAAAACTCAAATCCTGATTCATTTAAGGTGAATATCTCTGAAATATTTTCATGTCACCAGTAAAAAAAAAGAAATTGTGATTTTTCTGCTCTTCAGATTGGTCATGCTCTAACAAAATAAGATTTTTATGTTACAGAAAATTATTTTGTTTCTTCAGCTGATCTAAAGAGCAAAGAAATTTCAAAAGGTTCAGAATTTGTTCAGAAAAGTATTCTTTAATTGTTTTCAAAAACTCTGCTCATGCCCAGCTTCTGAAATATTTCTTTCAATGTTCATATTGAAATCCCTTTTAATTATGATAACCAGTAAATAGAAGATATACAAATAAGGGTCTAATTCTGAACATGTACATAAAATATTACTGTTTTTACAGATTTCAATGACATTTCCCTAACAATGTTTAGATTTATTATTGAAATCTTGTACATATGCAAAAATGAATTGGATTTATTGCTATTACAAACTAGTAAATATATACTGATAAAATGGAAAAAATTCTCATTATTATAATCATTAAATCTTAAAGCCCTTGTATTTCACAATATTAATTATAGTATTATATTATTAATTATTATAATAAAACTTATAATAGTTTAACAGTATATTTTTCTCAGTACTGCATTAAGTTTTTGAAATCTCTGTATATCAACAACTGTATTTCTCATTTGGTAATTCATTTTTAAATGTTTATTAAAATGAATTTCTATTTGTAACACTTGAAAGTTACATTTGTTTTTCATTATGGAATCCTATTTAAATAATCACTGTTTTATATTAAGCAAAAATAATTTTACATTATAAATATCATCTATTTAGCATTGTCAATTTGAAGGATGACTGTACAGTACAAATTGGTTCAGTTTATACGAACATATATCCAAAGACACTTGCAGAAGCAGCAAATAATTAAGTATAAAAACTGCAAATATCACATGTAAACCAGAAATGAATGAAACAAAGCTACAAAGAAGCAGGTAGAGTCTGGAGTGATCAGATGAGAAAACAGCTCAACAAAGAACTGTACACTCATAAACTGGTGAAAAAATATTTCTGACAATTTTTTTTATCTTCTCTTTGCTTATTCTCTGTTTAAATCATCCATTGGAATTGGACAGCAGCCAAATGAAAAAAATAAATGCAATTCTCTTATTCCATGTTCTGCCACTGAATGGCATCATTTTACCTTTGTTGCTGGAGTCAAAATAAGAAAAACGATTCAAAGTGGACATTGATGTCCATTTTAAAAGCAAAAAATAAATGCTTTCAACTCTATCTCTCCCTCAAACACAATGAAAGCTAAATTCTAACACATAACAATTGGGCTAATTAAGACTAAACATATCTAGCTACCTCCATTTACATACACAATCGCTGTTAATTTGTGATTTCAGTGTACAATCAGGCAGCTGTTATAAAATTATTCTTAATAATATATGTATAAAAAGTTAAGTTATGAAATAATTATATGCTTAAATATCAATTCCTTTCTCTTATTACTGTTTTCTCCAAGACTGAGGCCTTTATAAAAATTTACACACAAAACTGATCTTTTTTACCATGTAGACAAAAAAGACAGCAATATGTTTGTTAAGTCAAATGTTAACTTAGAATAAATATTAGTATACAAAGACACTGATTAGATAAATTAAATTTTGATGTGATTCTAATCAGCACTCCTATTTTTATATCTGAAGCATCTTAATAATAAAATTGTTTTTTATTCTTTGTAATAATTTATTTTCATCATGCACACCAATGCAGAGGAATGCAAGGTGATACAATATTCACAAAACAGGCAAACAAAGCTAATCCGGTTTTAATCTTTTTACCAGTTCTTGCACTAATGTTCTTGCAAAAAGCATGAAAACTAAATTCTTTTGTCCCTTTGCTATTCAACTGTTTTGGCACTGGTACACAACAATAGGACATGGAAAGAGAGGATGATACTCATCCTGCATATGCCTCTCTTCAATGCTTTAAACATGAACATCAAAAATGAATTGGCATTCAGTCTTTAACAAAAATTAGCACACTTATGTAGGCTTGCTTGTATTTTTTATTACATCAAATAAATTACAGAGATTAAAAGAAATATATGAAATGTATCCTGAATACAAATGACAAAGTATTTTCTGCTTCTCCTTCACTTTTGAATGTGCTTCAGTTTTCAATACATAAAAAATAACTTGATATTAAAAAATATGCAAGTTATTTTCTCATCATCTCACAGTAAAGTTCAACATTTTTAAGCTTTGTGTTCAAACATAATGAATATGATCAAAGACACAAAATGGTTTTGTTATGACTATACTAAACAAAAAAAAAAGCTTTTTTATGTATGACCAGTTTAGTAAATCATTTCAATAATTGTAAATAGGGAGGATTGAAAACAATCTCTTCACTGTGTCTTTTTGAGAAAGCTGTCAATTTTTTATCTGCTTGAATGAAGTTCACCCAATCTTTGCCATCAAAGACCAAAGAACCTACTGGCGCTTTAATCGAGTTAACCCTGTCTGTTATCCTAAATTGGGATATTTTTATGACCCTCCCTCCCCTGACATTATATGATAAACAGTTGTCCTAAATTAATATTCTGATAAAGACCAATGTCTCAATAACAGCAATAATTATCAACAGACAAGTAACACAGTTTTTAATATGAACCTAAATTCATGAGAAATTAAGGAAAGCAAACATTAGTAAATCATAGTTCAAAGATATTTCAAGTTACATTTGGCACAAAAACACATTATTGAAACAGAATTATCACATTTTTATTGTCATCTAGCTCTCTCAGTTATAATTACAAGAGTTATAAATAAAATTTATTGTCTATCTAAAAAATGCTGAAATTTTACAATGTTTCAGACTTCTCAACAAATAGTTTTGAGTGGAGATCTATTATTCAATTAATATTTATTTCTATAAGAAAACATTAAAAATAACTCAAGTTATGATCCTCTTTGTTTTCACACATGAAGATAACATTGGGAAAAGCAGCTGCTGATTGAATTTATCTTCTTTGTGACTATTATGGAGTAGGGGACATTTGATCAAGGAAAACATCACTGCCACATAGGACAAAACATGAATTTAAAACTGCAGTTATCTCCCTTACCTTGCCTTTTAACAACAATTGGTCACAGATTGACGTAAAAAAATTGTTTGCCTATTCAAATTTTATCTTGTTTATTTGATGAGAAAATTAAATTTAACAAGATATAAATAACTTTTTTAAGAAAAATGGCATTTAACATTGTTCTCAGGCAAAGCTGCCGTTTTTTAATACAAAGAATATTACAGAAAGTTTATATTTTGCAGGGAAACTGTCCAGAAACAATTTATTTGTTCGGCCTGAAAATAAAAACGGGCAGCTACTGACAGGAGTCTGTTTGATAACATACTGACGTTAACTCAGCCCTAAAAAAATATGTAAATAAAAATGGATTCTCAATCTAAAATGAATTTTACAAAAGAGGTTATGATTAAATAAAATCCTGGTGAAAATTTTGAAAAAATTTTTTGTTGTTATTATTTCTACTTACATATACATATTTGCCTATAATTTTCTGTATTAACAGACAAGCAGTACTGGCACAAATCACATCAACAATGAATGCAGGAGGTAACTGATGCATATTCAGCAGGTCAGTTCAGCATTCTTTAGCTTCCATGGCATATAGGAGCAGAAGAGCAACCAATGTGTTACATTCTGTTGTATTTGAAAGGCAAATATTTCTCCTTATAATTAGCATCTCCTTAGTATATTCAGCTCAAGTTTTAGGTTAGTAGTAAAAAGTAAGAATAATATTCTTTAAAAAAAATCATGTGTTCAATACTTTGGCATGTCATTGTATCTCTACTTATCAAATGCTTTCTACTTTCATTTGCATGGTCTTTCTTTGTTGTTATCACCTTTCCTAAGTATAAACAGGGTGAGATGGATAAATTGTCTAAATTATGCAAAAATGAAACCACTGACATTTCATTTTAACAGATATATTTAACAAAATTACACAAAAATATCTTGAAACACTAAAGAGTAAATTTATTCTATAAAATCACCATTGGCTTCAACTATGGCCTCCAGACAACTTCAGAATCTCTTGCAACTCTTCTAGATAGTCTTCTTAGTGAATGCTGCCATAATCCTTGCCTTCAATTCATCTTTGGTGTTATGAAGAGTTTTGTTAATCTCTCACTCAACTGCGCCCCACATATAATAATCAAAAGGGTTGCAGAGTTAGGTGGCCAGATGTAAGGGGTGATGTGGTCGCCGAAATTGTCTTAACAGTCATGACCTGCTAGTGTGGCATGGTGCAGAGTCCTGTTGTTAGGCATAGGGTCTTCCAGTAGCCACCCTCTTTACCCAGGGCAGCACTACCTCCTCAAGGCTCTTGATGTAGGCTTCCATGTTGAGTCTTGGTGGGCTCTGCGGGAAGAAGAATGGATCACTAGTGATCATTCCAAATATCTTCATAATCACCATTAGATTCATCCAACTCTTTCCAAATCCTCTGCATTGCCTTCAGATTGACACCCAAATACTCTGAAATGTTAGTATTGGAGCTTCCAGTGTAAATGGTAAGCAGTACAGCATGCCATTTCCAAATTTCTGCTGGAATGTGTTGTATCATGGCACTCTTTTTTTCCTAGTGTCCAACTGACCCTATTATGCTGTGTAATCAACAAGATCAAAAACAACGCACATGCAAGAAATTAAAAATATAAAATGGCAATAATTTACCCATTGCACCCTGTACATTCTTATAGATCTTTCAGTTCTTCAGTAATTATTTTCATGTTTACTTGAAATCCTGTAATTATTTGTTTTATTTCTA